CTGAACATACAGATTCTTTCAGGAGATAAGGTGAGTGTAAAAGGAATTACAAATAACATCATCACACATTGATCTCGATCTTAATGATGTTTTATAATCCCTAAATATGAGCAGCAAATAGGCCTATCCTTAAGTGACTGTTCCTCCATACCCATGTGATGATGGTGGTGAGCAGCTGCAGGAAGGAGGTGAGTCCTTCCAGCTCTCTCTGGGTGATGCCTCTGAGGGACGGGTGGCGGAACTGTGCTGCGTCTGGGTTTGGAAAGTCTCGCCGCAGGTTCTCATGGTAGAGCATCAGGGAGTGAAAAAAGTGTTCCCAAGACACCGGGCTGCCGGACACTCCCTGGAGGTTGTCACCTGCGTACATGAACATGAAGTTAGTTTGGTATTCATTTGGATACGTATTACACTAAAGCTAGACAATAGACTTTAAGAGTCTAGTGTGCGTATCACCTACATCTGAAGTCATTGCCAACGTGGCATAAAGTCAAATTCAGATACCTCAGAGGCCAAACTGCACTTTGAATGTTAAACGGCTTCAATTTCAGAGAGAAATATAAAAATATGTGTCTGTTGTTATTCAAACCCAGACAATTATTTTCTGAAATGTTTCCTGTCTTTAGAAAAAATCTGCTCTTACTGTGCGTGGCTCCGTTGGTTTTGAGCAGGCTGAAGGCGTAGTGGGAACACTGAGGCCCGTTGGCGAGTCCTTTCAGCATACGGAGATAGGAGATATAGAGGGTGGAGGGCAGGAGGTCTCCCATCTGACGCACAAACTTGGACAGAACCACCTGCGTCAAAGCATATGTAAAGGGAAAATATTTTTAACTGAAAGTTGACATGATATGATTTCTTCCAGAAAGCCATAATCTAAGTCAACAGAATAATTGATTAGAGGAGAAACTTGTTTTTGTGCATGTTCCAGAAAAGGCAGCTCTCACCTGTTTGTGCGGAGGCCTTTGCAGCGCCATCCCCAGGTAGGACCCCTGCAGGGAGGTGTGTTGCAGAGACTCTGTGGGACACCAGAACTCCAGACCCAACTCCAGTCCAAATGGGTCCTTACTGTAAAACTCTCCTATCTGCAAAGGCAAAGCAGTAACCAAAACTGTCACAAACTCAAACCCACAGTGTCAGGCAGTTTGATTTGAATGTTTCTCGTTTGGTATTGAAGTTTGTAAACAAATTCAATAAACACTGACGAGGTTCATGAGATGGTCCAAGTCCTTGCGTAGCGACGAAGGAAGCTCGCTCTCCATTTGTAAAGACATGTGCACCAGACGGGCATCCTCATCAGCGCGGTTACGAAGCTGTTTCACCTACAAATATAGCACAAATATGTTATTTTCATTCAGTATGCAAAAGTATACAAACACAAGCTAAAGACACACTTCAGGATGATATCCGTACATGTCAACTTCTTACTTAAACATTGGTAGCGGACACCTGTGAAATCTCTCACCTTCATTGGCATGAGTGCCAGGAAGTCTGTGATGAGTGAATGGAGGCGGCGGATGTAAAACTCTTCCTGTGCACAGCCCTCACATCCCAGGATGCCCTCCTTCATAAACAGGAAGACGTCTCCCAGCAGAGCCTGGTCGGCCAGAGCCTCGTCTGCCTCAGTGAACTCCACCAGGGCTGCACAGCACACACATGGAGATTCTTTGTTTTGTATTTGATGTATGCACCACGACATCAAGTCAAATTCCTCGTATGCGTCAACCTACCTGGCAATAAACCCGTTTCTGATTCTGATTCTGACATACAAGTATTTGTAACATTGAATAGCTGCTATAATTGAGACCTTATTTTCACTTCATAGGGCAAACCAATAAAAAAAGGAACTTACCACCTCCCTGTGGTAGCTGGGAAAGGACCCTCAGAGACAGAGCCCAGGCCAGGCGACACACAGCCTGCAGACCTGGAAGCTTCCACGGCTGGCCATCCATCAGCCGGCTGTGCACCGCAGACACGTACTGCCGCTCAGTCAGCAATGGCAGCGCCTGGATCAGATCTGGAGGAACACAGAGACGATCACTCATTAGCTGTAGAAGAAAAACACTGAAATCTAGAGCAATACAAAAAATAATCACATGTTCTCACCTTCTCTATCTTCTGTTCCCTGTTCTACAAAGCTGACATCCAAGCAGTAGAGTAGTGCCATGACCAGAGCCAGGTTCACGCTATCCAATGAACCATCAGCTTGAGCGCTCACTGTCTCCAGGTGGCCAATAAGAGCCAGGGTGTCGTCTTTAGACAAAGGTGACTGGCAGGTCCACGAAAACAGGCTGTCTGCCAGAGCCTGTCTGCTCTCTTTAATAAGGTCCGAGACCTGCGGACAGAAGAGCGAGTTAGTTGTTTTTTCTACTAAATGTGTCTTTTTCAGTTACAACATAACGCTACTGGCTTTGCACTAGTTGAGTATGATTGAAAATCAACTTTTAGCAAAAGAAAGGTATTTCCATTTCAAATGAACACAAAAGATTTGCTTCTACCTCTTTCCGGTGCTTCTCGTTGCCCAGGCCGCGCTCCTTCTGCAGCCGTTCAAATTCACGCGCCACATTTATCTCCGACACCAATGCCAGGACGCGTTTGGTCAGACCCTGGTTCATCAGTTCGTCTGTGAAACGTGTGGTCAAAGCCACCAGCTCTCCACTGAAGGAGAAAACGAACAGAACAAGTCAATAACAAGAACACATAGTTATTATGTAAAAAAACAGCAGGACAATTTAACATTTAAAGCAGCTGTCACTGCTTGAATGCTTCATTAGTAGATGGCATTATTACCTCAGGTCCAGGGTGAAGGTCTTGCCATGGCGTGACTGGATGAGTGTGCGCAGGGAGTTGGCCACACAAAGCTTTCCATCCCAGTAGAGCAGCACAGCTACCAGACCTCGTGTCAGACCTGGAAAATGGGGCTGCTGTTGCTCACCTAGAGACAGATACAAATATTTTGAGAATCAGTTGTGTGAAACGTCTATGTCTTTACTACTGCAAATCAGGCCAGGTTTTTGTTGTATCTACCCCACACAATTTATATAACTTCCTTTAGAATTTAGCTTTCAAGTTGTGTCCTTTTATCATGTCTACTTTACCTGCTAACAGAAGCTCCAAAGCTGATAACTCTCCAATATCAAACAGATCGCTGAGGATGAAGGCCTCTGAGAGAAGCTGCTCTGGAAGGAGCCGTGACCCCTGCTGACCCTGGATGGCGATGCCTTCTGTGCTGGCTTTACGCACCTTCTCTCTCTGCTCTGCACTCTTTGGCTGAAAATAAAGTGAAGACAAAATGTTAGAAAATTCTCAAGACACACTCTGTCAATAGAAAATGCATCTGTCTGCCCCAAGGAAGGTGCAGGATACACGGAAAGAAAACTATCGCCACATTCACATATGTAGCGGGTCACTTCAAGAGTGTTCTCTCACCGGGTTTTTGAAGAGTGAGAGAAAGTGTGGTTTGTGTTTCTTCAGCTGCAGGTCGAGGAGGTGGACGCTCTCTGGCTGTCTCCTCAACACCGCTCCGTCCACTGTCTCCCATAGTTCCTTCAGCGGCCCCCACAGACTGGCTCCTGGGTAGGAAAATGTGTTTTTCCAAGGTCTTGTGTCAAATAAACATGCACAGAGCTAGACCCTGTAAAACTTGCATTGGTTTATATCTTGCTTTATCTATTATGCGGTATATGTAATAATTGTTTTGAGGGAGGTTTTTTTCATACAAATGTTATATGCGTTATAGAGTCAAATTTTAGTCTAGCGATACAAATATGTATGTTTAACAGTGAATAGTATCACAAAGGTTTGTATGGTTGACATTTGTTCCTGATGTTGAAATTGGGAACCATTTTTAAACTTAAACAATGAATAATAATAATATGAACATGTTAGTTATTCAAGATTTAGCCTATTTACCGAATCATTTTAGATTGCTAATCCTTGTTTTATACACTACTAGGTTCTGAGCTGTCACTGCGCAACATCAACAGAGTCTGTACATACATATCTGACCGTTAACTGGTACCAGTAAACAACTCTGACTTATTACCAACAGACAGAAGATAATTAGATAATCTGCACCTGAATTTAACTCTTACACGAACTTCTTGTTGTTAGCATCCTAGTACAAAATATCAGAAATGGGTCTTTCCTTGTTCCAAGTAAGTTAGTTTCATTTTTGATCCCGATGAGTAAACTCGTCTGCTGACCCCTTTGACAGGGGTTCCGTGAGAGAAGTCATACTGCCCGTATTTTGTTCTAATATAAAAATGTGTTAACGCTAAAGCTGAGCACTTTCCCCAGCACATAGTTTAACCAAAATTAGCTAACGTGTTTTGCAGGCTAGGCTAGATTAGCCTAGCAGCCTGAGTGAATTTGAGTCAACCATCGCCATGTGGTCAAAACCTGACGTCGCCTAAACTTGCGCTAAACAGCAAATATGTACGTGTTTATCTGTGAAATTATAACTCATAGCAGCTCATAGGAGTCAACACAAATTGGTAACTTTACGAAATAAATATAGTTCATACCCGAATTTACCGCCATCTGGGCCGCCATGACACACTTTCTGAAAATTGGACAGAAGGTGTCGGGTTTGTGCCGTAGTGAAATTTAAAAATAATGTCTTCTCTAAACACGCTTCAATACTATTTTCTCAAATTATATTAACCCATTCTACTTAAATGTGAATACTGGGTGGTTAGTTTTGTAAATTAGTTTAAAAACATTTATGAAATTCTGATTGACCCTTGCAGGCGAGGTCCTCAGACCGCAGAGGCTATCTAGCTAGCTAAGTGGGAATTGTAGTTAATTCATGTATTTCCTGAATAAATTATTTTAATACATTTCAAATCGACTTAATTCATTTTAAGAATTCAGTACTCTTTCAAATATTATTTCAAACTAAATATTGGTAAATCAGCACCCGCTATGCCTCGAAACGGGTTAATGGACCACAAGTGACACAAACATTGGTTCCGCCCTGTGTTCGCCCGTACTGTTTTGACGTTACACCAACATGTCCATGCAGTCTGACAGTAGAAAACCCGTGACCGCTGGGATGAAAATGTCTCATTCATGAATATAAAACATCGCAAATGTTTCACTTTATTAAAATAGAGTGCTTGGTAACTATTTAATCAAAACCATGGCTCGGGTTGTGAAAGTGTTTCGCACTCTGCGGAATAACTGGAAGAAATCCACATTTGCTGTGTGCGTCTTGTCTTATGGAGGCTACTGGCTGAATGGTAAACACAGGTGAGTGTCTCAGGTTATAAAATGATCTCAAATATGAAAAAAGCATACTGCATGTTTTAACATTGTGTGCCTTGTGTTTTGCTAGTGACTCCCTACTGCGGAGGGAGGCCTGTCTATTGGCCAGGGTAAGACACTTGTTTTTGCTCATACATTGTCATAATTTAAGCCAAACCCCATCTGAAATGCATTTTTAGGCCTAATTGTAATCATCATAACTCCTGATAGGAGTTTGGGCGTCAACAAATAGCACCACATGAGCGTCTGAGGAAAGCAACAGTAATTTTGAACCCTGCAGCCTGCGGTGGGTAAGTATCCTCTCGGTATTTTCTACACTTAAGACCCTGGTCTTTCTCACAATATTCACAACTTCCTCTCTAAACCTCCCCCAGGAAAGCCAACAACCTGTTTGAAAAGAATGCTGCTCCTATATTACACCTGGCTGGTGTGGAGGTGACAATAGTAAAGGTAAACTTAGTTTTATTTCCCATTTGGAATCCATCAGTGCTACAGTATGTGTTTCTAGTAGGAATCCCATGTGACACCATGAGTTAAATGACTTGTTTCTTCACAGACAGATTATGAGGGCCAGGCAAAAAAACTGATGGAGCTTGCAGAACAAACAGACATGCTGATCGTGGCCGGAGGGGATGGCACCTTGCAGGAAGTCGTCACAGGATTACTGCGAAGGCCCGATCAAGTATGTCTCACACACTTATTGTATTGTCACCAGGATTTGGTTTTAGAGATTAATGCAAAACATGTCCCTATTTTTCCATTTATTGATGTCAATAATGCATGTTTAATGACTACAGGACACCATCTGTCAGACACCCATTGGATTCATTCCACTGGGCTCCCGCAACTCCCTGAGTCCGAGTCTTCACCTCCTCAGTGACAACAAGGTCAAGTAAGTATCTATTTAAAATTATACTGAAAGATCCAAATGTTAGCATCATACAATCTCACTGGGTGTGTCACACTAACTACATATCGGACAATATATGGACATGACCTTGTTTATTTTTACTGACCCCAATATTGTCAATGTGTTTTACATGCATCTTTGTTTACTTCAGTATGTCACTAACAGCCAGAATAAACAGCAGGGTTGTCCTATATATTATAAGACTTGGCTGCAGCGCATATCACACATTATTGTTGACAGAGCCCCGTAACATTTTATTTTATTTAGGATATTATATATCATATACTTTGTCTCATTCAAATTCCATTGTCTGAATAATACAAAGGATTAAAGTAAATTGTCTTTTGAAAGGGTGTTCTTGCATTAATATGCTATTATACTTATAGTATATCCGTATCATTAAATGACAGTAATATAGTTTATCTCAATTATTTCTAGGATCATTCATGGTCCAAGAATTAGTTATTGTGTAAGTTATTGTTACTGTGTCAGACTGTGTAAAAATACAGTATGTGTATGTTTACGTTTTTTTTTCTTCTCATAAATAACTTTCATAGAGACATTACATCAGCAACACTGTCCATATTGAAGGGAGAAACTGTTCCTCTGGATGTGCTGCAAATCAAAGTAAGGAAAAATATAAAATTGATTAAAAATAATATAACTCTTAAAGGTACAGACTTGGCTTGGTCAGTTTTTTTTTTTACAGGTCATATTAACAGATGATCTAAGACATATTTAATCTCACATTCATAAAATGACTCTTCTCATGAAGTAGTATAATGTATCCATTGTTGTTTGGATCTATAATTTGTGTCTTTGTGTTCCAGGGGGAGACAGAGCAGCCCGTCTTCGCTCTGATGGGATTACGTTGGGGTGCTTTTAGAGATGTGGCGACAAAAATCAGCAAGTAAGATCACAACATTGGTCACTCAGATTATAAACCCTGGATAATTCCCCAAACATGAAAGTAATTAACCTTTTTTTCTAATAGATATTGGTACCTTGGACCACTGAAGACCAACGCAGCACATTTGTTAAGTACTCTACATGTAAGGATATATTTTTTTGTTTAACATACTTGGGTTAGAACAGTATATTTAACTGGTGATGAGCTTTTATAAAATATGATATCAGAAAGCCATGTGACTTCCCTAGTACGAAACACGTATTTTAAGCATGTTTTATAGTGTAAATTAGCCCTTTTTAGTTAGATTTTCTTACGAACAAAGAAACACTGACATGTATAGCCTGTTTTCTACATCAATTGAATATCAGATGGACCTTAAACAGTTGTTAACATAAAAGTATTTCTTAAGTGTAGGTTTCAGATCAATACTAGTATCCAACAATGATTTCTATCTCTAATAAAAATAAACAGTCAATTTTGTTGACACCAAATACTAATAGTAAATATATTTTCTTAATTCTTTATTTTAAAATGTGTAATTGTTAATATGTATTAAAAATATAAAGATGATGAGGAGCCTCATTAAAGGTAGGGTAGGTACGTTTGAGAAACCGGCTCGAGATCGCTAGAATTTGAAAATACACAACCGGAGAAAATCTGCCACTTCCTTATAGAGCCCCTCCTCGAACACACACGAACGTGCACATGACCAATGAGGGCACGAGATAAGTTTGTGCACAGATGGAAGGCTGACAGGCAGGTAGGCCATCCAGTTATTTTAGCCGGGCCGGCTAAAATGATTGGTCGTGCTTTTTACAGTATTACGGCTTCCACAGATGACATTTTTTTATGGATTTTTTGTCAAAGCACTTAAGATATTCATTGCTATCAGGATGTTAAGAGCATTCCATGGAATATAACAAAAAGTGTATCTTGAGCCGGTTTCTCAAACTTACCTACCCTACCTTTAAAACACATCATTGCCTTGTCTAATCAGTATTCTGTAACATACCATAGATAGAGGTGTATTAGCATTACTGCTAACAGTTTACAAACAACTCAATAGAAGAAGAATACAAATAATAATAACAAAATATATTTTTTAAATGATTTACATCAAGAAAAATAATGATCCCCATTTACCACCATGCACACATGCATACAAATATTTAATATATATATACAAATACAATTTATGCATTAAAACAAATCAATAACAGACACAAGCAATACAAAAAAGAGAAAAACAAACAGAACAGGGCCTAAAGACTTCAACCATCCATCTGTTCAACGTCATGAAATTATTTCCCTATTTCATGTCTCCCCATTTCCTCTTCACCTTCCCTTCACCAGGAGTGGCCCCTGGTCCGGGAGGTCTCAGTGTCCTACTTGGATCCAAACCTGCGGCCCCCTGATCTGTCCCCTCAGAAGCCCCAGAGACCCAGCCTGCTGTACCGCATCTTCCTCCGGCTGAAACACCGCTGGAGCCCTCCTGTCGTAGGTCAGTGTGTGTCATTGTGTCGACGCTCGGGTCACAGCATGGCAACTTCACAGCAACATCCCAACAGTAAATGACGTCCTTCGTGTGTGTGTTCCACAGAGCCTCCAAAAGTGGAAGAGCCAGAGGAGTGGAAAGAGGAGCAGCTATCGACGCTAGAGCTGTTTGTTCAAACAAACAACAAAAACCCAGTGCAGAGGGTCAGTACAACAAGATGTGTATTTAAAAAAAAAATGTACCTGTTCTTACAAAATCCTGAGCAATTGAATACTCATTCGGTGTCATTAAACATTTTTTGCCTTTTTTTGAATTTGTATTTGTTTCAATTTTTCCCTACTTGCAGCGTATAAATGACTCCATGATGATCTACGCCGAACCAGACAACCTCACAGTGAGCGAGTACATCACTGTCGGGTCAGTAAATACAGTTTTTCATTCATCTGATGCAAACAGACACATTTGGCATCCTTTTAAAGGTAATGTTAAATTCAATTCAAGTAAAAGAATGTAAATGTTCTTCATCCTAGAAACAAAAAAGACCAGGACCCCACCGTATTCACTAAGGAGTCCACTAAACTGGAAGCCAGTGCTTGCCGGCTGCAGCTGCCAGAGGTCAGATTTCATAACTTTTTCAATAATTTTACAACTAAAGTACTTCTGATATTTGTCAATGTACTTTCTAAAGATCAGTATTCCAGTTCTGTGGCACTATTTGACTTTATGTTCTCACGCCCCGCAGGGTACCGCTGGCTTTTACAACATCGACAACGAGGAGTACGAGGCCATGCCTGTAGAGATAAGTCTGTTGCCACGGAAACTACGCTTCTTTATCAGTGCGGAGCGCAGGGAGCAGCTCCTCGCACAGATGCAGTGATGGAAAAATACATCACAACAAAGAGAAGATAAGAACAGACGGAGACAAAAACTGATCTCAAGAGAAACACAGGAGCAAAGAACCGCCAGACACTCTGAGGTTGTTTGGAAAACAGATGTCATACTAATGGATTATTTTACTACATGTAAATTATGATAGAATATACAGTTTATCAATTATAAAGATCACATTACACACTGTTGTGTATAAAAGGACCAAGGCTTTGTTTCTTTAGGCCAGTCACCTGTGTACAGATTGACCTGAGGAACGGACGTTATGTTTACTGAATGGTTTACTAATGCCATCACATTTCAACTTGGTCAATAAAAATAATTTCTGTCCAACTCAAGTGTATTTTGTAAGTATTTAGTACATGGCCTCTAGAAGAATAGAATAGGGAGGGATGAAACCCTCTTTAATGGTCACACATGCAGAGCACACAGCACACACAGTGAAATTTGGCCTCTGCTTTTAACCCATCCTAGTACAAGGAGTCTAGTACTAGGAGCAGTGGGCAGCTATTGTACAGCGCCCGGGGAGCAATGGGAGTGGGGGGGGAAGGGGGGTGTCCGGTGCCTTGCTCAAGGGCACCACGGCAGGGCAGGAGGTGAACTGGGACCTCTCCAAGTAGAAGTCCACACTCCATATTTAGGTCTGGTCGGGGACTTGAACCAGCGACCCTACGGCTCCCAGTCCAAGCCCCTACTGACTGAGCCACTGCCTCTATTGATAGATGTATGTGTTTCATGATTAAAAAAAAACACACAAAACTGCACTGCCGCCATAGGTTCATTTCCGTTGTGATCCTCTGCTTCCACACATAGCACACCGGAATTACGGGAAATAATAACAAGACAAGAAATAAGAACTCATTATATTAAAGTTAAACATTTTTGTGACTTTCCTGTAGTATGTTATATAGGTTTTTCTGCATGTAAATGGTCTGCAAAGGATAAAATCCCAGTGTTCCCTCCAGAGGGAGTTTCTATCACACACCCCCGCCCTGCCTGCAACGCCTCCATTGGACTCCTTTTGTTTACATCCGTAACATAGTGACATCACTATGTAACACTTGCGCTTCTATTGGCTAGCGCTCCAACACATTGTACGTGATAGGCTAAGGGGCGGGTCATCTCGAAGCAGTTAATCAATCACAACAGAGTCAGACCACTAACCAATCGGAGCAGACTAGGCTCTGGTTTCAGACAGAGGGTGAAAAGAGGTGCTGCAGCACAGACAGTATGAGAAAAATAAAGAGCTTTTTGAACATTAAAGCATGGAAACATGTCCCAGTAGAGACAGAAAATACAAATATGAACCTGAAAAATGAGCAAAACAGGGCCCTTTTAAACATGATCTGTAAAATGCTCAATTTCACATTTGTGGGCAGATTGATTTGGTTTTGTTGTGGGGCTGGGGCAAAATGGAACTGATGGACAAAGAGAGAAAGGACCGACCGGAAATCAAAAATAGCCATGCATAAAGAAAAATATACAGTGTACCAGAGCATTGCGCTGGCTGTGAGTAGCCTGCAGGGCTCAGAAGAGTATGTATGGGATGGAGGAATGGTGTATAGATGAATGGATATGGCAGAATAAAGGGATGCTGCAGCACTCTGAATGTGTCGCTAATGCCCAGATCTTGAAGCAGGAGTTTGGCAGACTCATGGTGAGGTCTGATCTGACAGATGGTGGAAACAGCAAATCTGTGAGATTAAGCATGGCTGCATCCCAGGCCTCTTATCAGCTGGTTGGAACACAAAGGGAGGATCTTGCTTTGATGTTGGTGGTGTTGATTGCTGTGGAAAGATAGTGTGGGGTAATGGCAGATTTGAATAAGTAATCTACCAATCTTTACATTTTTAAATGTTGTACTTTTTACTCTTCATTCATTTGACCTCTTAGGTACTTTTTGTTATTATTATTATTTTACAGATACATACACATTTTAACATAATGTGGTAAAACTGTGTACTTTAGTGATTTTAATTTGCACTTGACATAGAAAACAAAGCATGGTCGACATTGATGCAGTATATCCTGACATTCAATCCCTAATATGGGTCAAGCTCTGTAAGTGCATTTCCCATAATGCAACTGGGTAGCATCTTAACTAGACCGTACTTGCTTTACTTGCCATTAATTGTTATATCTTTCAAACCCCACACTTGCAGTTTGTAACACAGGCTTTCTTTTTAAAGTGATAGTCTAAAGACAAATTTAAACTCGACCCTATGATGTCACTGGGGTTATTTTTTTGTATCTTTCGTAATATCCTTCAAGAGCCACAGAACAGAAGACATATATGTTCTGAGAAACTGGAGTTCTACACTCCTTGTTAAGAGTAAACTGAAGAATTTGTAAAATGGTGGAATGCCCCTTTATATAAAGTAGTTAAAATGGGCTCCACATTAGCCAACTACATCAGTAAAATATTGTTTAAATGTTAAAGCAACATTAATATAAATTACATAAGAAATGTATGTAAGAGAGCAGGAGCCCCCCCACAGCCATCATGTACAGCTTCTACCGAGACGCCATCGAGAGCAGCCTCAGCAGCTCCATCACTGTGTGTGTGGTTTGTGGACCGCCTCCAACCGTAAGACCCTGCAGCGCATTGTGAACACTGCTGAGAGGATCATCGGTGCCTGACTCCCAACACTCCTGGACCTCTACAACACCCGCAGAGCACTTAGCATTGTGGGTGACCCCTCCCATCCCTCCACCTGCCTCTTCACCCGCCTGCCTTCAGGGAGGAGGTTCCACATCCACCAGACTCAAAAACAGATTTTTCTACGAGGTCGCAGGATGCTGAACTCTCTCACCTCCCTCCCACCTCTCCCCCCTGCCTTAAACTGTATGTGTCTACGTTTGATTATGTAGGTATTTTAAGACATTTTAACTTTTATTCCTCAGTATCGTGAGAAACAGCAATTCGATCTCCATATCACACACAGAAGATTGACAATAAAGTTGACTTTTTCTTTTTTGCATCGGGAGTTCATTTACTTTGAATGCTGTAAGTATATCTGTCTGTAAAGTAGTACAATATATTTGAGGGAAGAGAAGTGTAGTGTAGGATTATAAAGGAAATGGAGAAAACGGTTTAATAGAGAATTAGATAACACAAACTGTATTAATGTTTTATTGTTTAACGATGGCAGTACAGTGAAATGAACTCATGCTTGACTAGATGTGTACATTACTGACATCTTTTACAGTGTTTCACATTAGTAAAGGTGAAGACTTATTATTCTGTGAGTACTTGTTATTTACATTACAATCAAGAAGGAAAAGGTTACACTTTTTATTTGCTGCATGTGTGCAATACTTTTGCTATCTCTGACATTCAGTAGAGTGACAGGCTGTACAAACGACTCTGATGCTGGTCTGTGAACGACTCCACAAAGAAGGCATGTTATACAGTAAGTGTGTGTTGTGTACATTCCCTTATACATTTAACGAACAGTAAAGCAAACACCGTCAGAGGCAAGTGTATAGGTCTGCTGAGAAGTAAATAAATGAGTCAGGGTGAACAGGTTTCACAGCAAGGTCCTTCAGAAGTGTGTAGGATAATGTACTTAGTCAGCAAATAGATACAGTAATGAGTCTGGTTCACAAATCACATTTCCTTAAGGCCCCATTTACACAACAAAGAATTTCAAATAAAATACTTGGTTCACTTTTATTCTGTTTTTGTAAACCCAGAAAATTGGTGAAAGTCAGGAGTTCTCAATCCCAGGAATCAGCCCCTGAAAGATCATTTTTGGAATGTGTTCAAATTCATGACATGTTCAAAAGCTTGCATTTTGGGGGGTTGGCAGGAGAACCACTACTCCAAATGTATACGAGGGAAATGTATGCCTTTTGTGTTCCAACATGGAACAAATGATTGACAATGATTTAACACAAAGAAATGTTTGTCAGGGACACAGACGAGCAAAGAGGATATTTTTGAAGCTGCTCAACAAGTATACCATCACGGACTCCTCACTCAACGCGTCACAAAACACATATTGGCCTCTGGTGATGAAACAGCCACAGGTTCAAGTAAAAAAAAAAAAGGGAACAATGAAAGCCTTTATACAGTGCAACAGACTAATTCACAAACATTTGCTGGCTCAGACTGTAGATCATAGAATAACAAATATTAAGCTTGTGTGCATTAGGAGATATTCCAGTGGTAGACATGGTGCAGCATTCATTAGTGTTATACAGTAGTCACATTCATGGAATATTCAAGAACCTCAGCTTCACATGTAACACAAGAGAACGTTTCCTCACTGTGATCAAACACAGACACATTATCACATCTACCTCATGTTGAAGGTGCATACAAAAGGTGATTAAAGTATTAACAGCTTTCTCTTCTCAATAAGTGAGTCATTTTCATAATCATTTACCATCCCCATTATTAAAAAAAAAGAGGATAACTAACAAACGTCATTACTGCTCACTTACAGTTGTTAAAAAAAAATAGAACTAGAAAACAACGTGGAAAATGCACAAACATAAATAAGGCCGATTTCAATTGGCAAACACTTCTATTCAGTGCTGCAATCTGCAATCATTTTTATTATAGATTAATTTGGCGATTATTGTCTAGTTTACTAGATTAATCATTTAATATATCTATTTATATAAAAATTGAGAAAAAAGGGAAACATTTCAATCCCATTATTTTAATCTGAGGTGGTATCCTTAAACGTCTCATTATCTAAGAGGCTGAAAACTGATTATTTTCTGTAATATTTGCACGGAAAATTACCCTACGATTCTACTATCGATGAATCAGTTATCAAAATAGTTGGCGATTATTTTTCGTTGCGGTTCTAATCCTATTGCTTCCCTTTTGAAAGGGAAATAAAGTATTCAAAAAGCATCCATCTACAGTATGTTATAACAGCATACCCCCCCTCCACCTCCATAATATGAATCTTACTCCAAAGCTGCATGTTTGTGAATGTTTCAATGACTTCTCCATTGTGATTGGTGCAGTGGGGAACAACGAACCATCCTGTGGGGACCAGAAATGATCAAGATGTCCATACTTTAATCCAGTGCTTCAGCTGAGTTGAGACTTATTTTCTGATGATAAACAGCACTGAGTGATATAGGATGTGAACGGCTACAGTATAAGACCACGCAGCTGCCAGGCGATACACAGTCTGCTGGGCAAGTGTTACTCAGCCACTGTGGACGTGTGCGCCATCAATTAACGTCCTCGCCCTCCACAATGTTTGGAAACAGTCTCCACAGGTCAGATGAGACAGACAGAGGGAAAACCGACACCCAGTGGGGGACAGCAGATGGAAATCCCAGGGGGGGGGAGGCAGTGTCTTCGG